TCTAAGCTGGATTTTGTACAAACATAATGACAGACGTGCACTTACAAGCTAAATACACAGAACAGATGAGCAATGGGGGGAGGAAGTACTATTATCCTTATTTTGTAGCATAAGGCCAGAAATGGAAAGAGGTGTCAGACTTTTCACCTCTTGAATTGCCTTTGTTTCCTCACTGATCTGGAAAAGGAAGTAGAGGTGACATGGCTAATTCTGACCCTTATCTGACAACTCTGTAATATCATGTTCCGTCAGGTTCCCGTTCACCATCATACTCTTAGATCAGGGAAGATTGTTACTCATATTAGGAGACATTTCTCTTGTAAACTTTCCCAAGCCTGGTGTTTTGTCCATTAAATCATTAGCTGCATTAAATCAAACACATATAAGCAACTTTCTTGGGGCTTCATTAGTGCTTGAAGTTGCAAGATGTTGAGTGCAACAGGACAACATCAGCAGAACAGTGGATAGTGCCACCACCCATATCATCATTCCCAGGCCAGTATTTATGGCACTTCTGAGAGATGTGGTGTGGCATCATCTCCATTTGAGGTGACTGATGAAACCAGGCTTCCCAGTGCTTTGCAGGACACTTGAATTGATCAGTCATTAAATAAAAAGGGGATGGAATGGACCGCATGCTCTCAGGACATGTATTTCAAATAAAAGCACTTGTGACTGCTTCATCTGGAGCACAGCTAACCAGTGTGAGTATATGGTAGGTGCAAACCAGACTAGGTGGGGCTGCAAGCAAGACAACTTCCGTTCTGCAAATACAGAAAGCCTATACAGGCCCAGAAGCAGAATTTCAGTAATTAGAATTCAGATTTCAGAGAAATGTCTCTATTTTCAGATTTCCTGGCACCTAAAGTGAGTGAGGACTGAGAATCACACTTGTAAGTATAGACATTAGAAGTTCTGCTCTGCAAGTCTAGGTCCTCATGAAGACATGAGTCTATACATTTTTCTGTGGCTCCACTGTAGAAAGCAGATATTTTTATCCTACAGTGTTGACTTTGTGGCAATTTGAAGTGAGGGAATTAAAAGTTTGCAATGCCTGAATAGTGATTTACTACTCTGTATTCCTATGGATTAGTTTTGTATTTCTTACTAGCAGTTCCCCTGACAATTTGGGATTTATCTTTCCATCAATTTTCATTTCAAACCACGTAAGAAAAGATATTATCGACTGCTTTGTATTCAGTGACAAATTCGTCCTCTTCTTACCAAATGCATTCTGACTGTTGCTAACAAAAAGGGATGCACTTGATAGCACACGGGGATTTAAATACCCTCAGCTGTAAAGGGTGCTTCTGCAGACTAATGCACGGTTCCTAGCAATGCTTAGGCCTAATTGCTAGAGACTGGCTGAAGTCACAACCTTCACTTCCAGGTTTTGAATATAGCAACTCTGAGGATTTGATCCAGCCATTATTAAAAAACATAAAACCACACACACACAACCTGAAAAAAAGACCCAAAGGGAAAAGAACAACACAGAGCAGCTTTCAGGATTTTGAATTCCTTCATAGCTAGGGCATTTGAACCTAAGACATTACTAAAGCCTATCTAAATGCATAGAGTAGAAAAACTCCATTGCAATATAAACCTGATTAAGAAGTCATTGCATGTGTTTTTATGGAAGATAAGCAATCCCAAATGTTTAATGTATAGAATAAAAAGATGCAAAAATATAAAGGCAGAAATAAAAGCATACAATGTTTAAGAAGAGCCAAAAAGAAATGAACAAGGAATAGAGAACAACCAGGAGAGTGGGACAGAAGGATAGAAAAGGGAGATTGCAAGCAGTAAAACAAGATAACAGAAGAGACAAAGTTGGCAGCAAGAAAGGAGGAAAAAAATACTAAGAAAATATTTTTCTGACCTTCCATTAAATCTTCTCATACAAATGGAAAACTGAGAAGGTTAAAAAGAGAAAGATGTTTATTCAAATATTAACAATGGAGTATTTTATAAAAGCCTTCATAGTAATTTATACAAAATTTAAGTTAGCAAATTCTAGTAGCAATAGTATGAGATCTAGCAGGTCTTTTGAAGAAGTCAAGAATGTAAACTTGAAGTGTATATCTGTACTTAATTTCAGTTGTCTTGACTGCCTCATATAATTTGTTATGCTTTATTTTTTCAACACTTACTATTTAAAAATAGCATTTATGTCAAGTATATTAATTATAGCAAACCATGACTTGCAATGCTAGGTGCCTGATGCTAGGCTCCCAAGCCTATGTTTCGATATGTAATAATTAATTAGCCTCAATTTCAAAACTGACTGAACTGAGTCTGCTTAGTACATACTTAATAAAATGGCTAATGTTCAAATTATTACAAAAGTTTTAATGCATTTAAAAACTCTCCCATAGAGTGCAAAGAATGATCTGGTCCTTTTCCCAAGGAACTTTAAATCAATAGGTAAGATTGTGCTATGCACACTAATTTCCAGTAGTGAGATACTATTCCTTGAGAAAAACAGCAATTACATCTGACCCCGTGTTTTAAACAAGAGCGGAGAGCAGACCAAAGGAAAGCATCCTCTGTGGCATTCATGTGGCACAGAAGCCTTCTTTTCTTTTCCATACGTAGAAAATATAAGACAGAAGTGTGATTTCATTAGACATTTATTGCTGTTTTTTTCTGGCTTTAAATGCAATACCCCTGTTAAGATTTCATGTGAGTATCTTCGTATGTGCCGTATTATAGTAACCTATTGTTTGCAGAATAAACAAGGCAAAACAGCAAGCTATCTCTGTAACTATAAGGATTAGAAATTAGGCATACAGAGAACATTGAGCATACCGCAAATTCTGCGAAACTGTGTAAATCCAGATTTTTTTCTATGCCAGTGGATTCCTGTTGTCAATGTGATTAATTAGTAGTTATATCACTGTTACTGAAACAGTATTACAGCCAGAAACTCTGGTTCTTATTGGTCCCATTGCCTACCCCTTTTCACATTTGCTATTACAGTCCTTTTATTCCTGGGTGAAACGTTTTCTGTTGTCTTAGCTCATTCTATAATAAACGCATCACAACTCCAACACACACAATCAGTCAGAACTGGCAGCTTCTCAACTCCAGTAAGTTCAGAACTGCATGAAGGCTAAATTACTTCTGTCCCAGGAGACTGATTCTTTGAGGTCAAGTCAAGCTCATTAAGGAGAAGAGAGTGTGGGGAAGTTTGTGCTATAGCCTTTCAGCTGCATTTATCATGCATAAATGCTTTGAATTTCTTTATTTCCAGAACTGTGCAGACCCTTAACTATTGTGCTGCTGGTGTATTTCTGTGTTGCCCAAGTAGTGGTGCCGGTGAACGCATCTATGGTGAACATAAGCACAGTCTAATAGACAGGGCATGTAATTGCGTTTAGGAGACTGGGATTCTCTTTCTGATTCTGACCTGTTTTATGCGTTTGGGATCATCGCACCTGCGTTTGTGCCATTGTTTCAGCCTTCACAGCCAGCTGTAGTTACGCTGTAACGTAACTACAGTTACATTACGCTGTAACGTAACGTTCTACAGCGCAGGGCTGTCTCACACTGCTTAGTCTTACAACACTGAGCACAGATAACGCTCCACTGTTCTGTACATGACAAACAAATCCAACGTCAGAGAGGTGGTTAAACCTCCATGTAATATTTCTTTTTCTTTTCCCATGTAAATGAAATGGAAAATACCTAATTTGCTTTACTCCAAACTAATGAATAGGTTAGTGCCATCAAAAGCTTTCTAGCAATTTAAAGAATGGCAGGACCAAAAAAAAGGAAAAAAAAACCATAGCTATTCATTCTGTCTCCTTGTTGAGTCAGCACCAGGATCATTTTTAATAAAAAGATAGAAATATTTATGCCTGAAGGACTCAGATTTGCTGAAGCTCAAGAGCTATGATACAAACAAACATCTTTTTTCTCTTCCATTCAGTATTTACATATAAAAAGCATCTACTTTGCATAGAGTTCCTGTCATTGTCTCTAAGACTGTGTGCATAATATTTACAGGAAAGAATACTGAGGTATGTAATTGTTAAATACTATTTTTAAATTTTTTTTTATGTGTTATTACCAAAAGCAAAAATATACTCAAGAATGAAGACTGTCAGAAAAACAGTAAGGTGGCCTCGAATGAACATCTAGTGAAAGAGCACGTTTTGTTTGCATCAGTAAATTCTGTATTAGCTTGGTGGACCCGATACTACGTGGGAGCTTGTGAGGCCCCCTTGTTCAGGGGCTGTTGGTCACCCTAGCTGTAGGCTTCAGATTCTGGGGATAAGAAGGTTCATTATTCATCATTCCCCACTGCTTTACTTCCTTTCGTGAACATCAGCACAAGCCTCTGTCATTCAACTCATAACATTCCTCAGCCGCATTTCTCCTCGGTTCCAAGTCTGGCCATATTTAAAATATGTCGATACTTCCACCACGTCACTTTTAGCAGCCAATTTTTTTTTTTTCCTGTCCATATTAGTAAAATGCCATCCAGGTTCCCAGCAACTTGCACATCACACACTGCAATCTCCTCTCGCCTCTGGTTCGCTTCCCCGAACCTTGTACGCCAAGTGAAGCCCTTTCCAAATGCTACAAGCTACGCATAATGCGGCAGAGTCCTGCAGTCCTATCCTCCACGTGCGCCTCTAACTCCAGTTTCTCCTCAACACCTTTCTTCTGCCAGTAATTAAGGATTTCATAGCACAGGCTAATGACTTGATTGTCTCTCCCTAGATATGGATCAGAGCCAGGGTAAAGATCTAATCTCAGGTGTTATGAGTGGCAGTTAAAAAGAATCTCAAGTTTCCTAAAAACTTAAGAACTTCCTTGGTTAAAAAAGTGATCTTAATGTTTTGCCAGGTCTTTGTTCTGCATTTCTCACCTAGTAGGAAATGACTGGCACAAGAGAAAACATTTCTACCCTCAAACCTCTCTAATATACATCAAGACCATAGCCATATGTCTGTGTTTTTAAGTTTGGTTTTGTTTGCTTTTTTTAACAGAGTTGGCATAGATCCAGATGAAGATGTGAAAGCAGATGCTGCAAGCCAGGTATGTCAGGATTTTAGACATCCTTGCTGAATTAGAAACTGCCCAGTGGTTGGAAGATCACATTTGTCAAAAACAGTGCTATAGCAGAAAGTGGTTAAAAGAGGGAGGTTGAAAATAAAAAGGAGCTACAAAGTATCTTTATTGTACAAGGTACAAAGAGAGGAGATCTATATTTCTCCATGTGCATGCACTCATGAAAATTTTGTAACCAAAAATGTTATAGAGTTTTGAAGAAAATTATAAACAAATGCCAAAATATCCAGAGAAATCTAATAAACAAAATAATAGAAGTATTGCCTCGATAAATCCAATATTTATCACTTTCCAAATGCTGCATTTATGGAAATGAGACATCTCAGAACAATGTTTAATTCCCTGGAATAAAAAAAGCAGAACATGCAGTGTTCGATTCCAGTAGGTCAGGTTTCTAAAAATATTTTCCAGTTATTTTTCACATGGAAACCTAAGTACAGAGTGAACTTGATAATTTTAAACTAAAGGAGGCTATTTCACAAGCCGCAACTGTTCATGTCACCGTCCCTTTTTTGCCGTCCGCGTATGGCACCGTTTCAAATGCAGCACCGCCCGCAACAGCGGCAATCTACGGAAAGTCAATACCCAGAGACAGAACGTGTGCTTCAGCGCACGGTAAGTGGAACGGCGGCAGACTAGAGAGAAGCAACACTACGTTTGACAAGTTGTCAAAGCAAAAAGCAAAAGAGTGCCTAATATCGTGTTCCTGTTTCTAGGTAATACCATCCACGCACTCTTTCAGATCGCACAACTGGAACTGCTATTGAAATCACCTTGCAGTGATATAATGCATAGACATGCATAGTCCAGGCAGAATTTTCATATATCTTACATACTGAGTGTTCTTAACATTTGCACATATCTGAAGGCATTTAGGGTCTCAACTTTCATAGACACTGAAGGGAATTCAAGTGCCTAATATTCCTAATGTTTCTTTGGGGGGAAAAAAAAAAAAAAGGAAAGATATTATTAGTATATGACTATATCCCTGGTTTTACAACTCAGTCACTATTAAAAGGGCTAGCACAACACTCCATGGCACCATGCCAAGATACTCATTTATTCTGAGTCTGAGGAGACTAATCACGAATATCACTCTCCTAAGCATCTTACAATGCCTCTGCCCAAGTTCTGACCAAAGCCAGGACACAGAACCTTAATCTATTCTTGACTGAATTTTAAAGATAAAGCTTTTCAGAAATATTCTACTTTGCAGCGCTCATGAATTATCAAAGATCAGAGAATGCTGAATGCAGTGTAAAAATGACTGAATGCATGTTTTGTGAAAACCTGGTTTCTTCAGAAGTCAATGGGCATCTAATTTTCTTCTTTTATTAAAAATGAAAATAATGTTTATGAATAACAGCAACACATCCAGTGTCCCAACTGTGCCCTGTGAATTAACACCTATCTCTGTTGACAAAACTCAGCAATACAATACAGAAGGTGTAAATAAATAAAACACCTTTCATGCCCTATCATGTCCAAGTCATTCCTTATAGTAGGAAATTTTACATTGGAAGACAGTGTTGCTGCTCTGATTATACTTTTCCCTCACTGTGGTATTCTATTTTCATTTATCTGACTTTTTTTTGTATTTGACATCTCAATCTTTTACCAATTCAGACCTCTGTTGCATTTTCTATAGCCTTCTTTGTTTTAACTCGGTACTTATCAGTTATTTACGTCGGGTTATTTCTTTTAATTGTCTCTTTCATCTCTCATTCCTTTTTTTCCCCCCTTTGTTGTCTTTTGTCTTCCCCTTTATTTCTAATATGATGTTTTTAATTTAATTTACCTACTTCTCATTTTTCCTATGATAGTGTGTGTTCCCACTGAAAGGAGTTGTTTTTCTTGCATATATCCCTGGACAAATAAATGCTTCAAGTGCCAGTATCTCCCACTGCCAGTTAAAGCTCTTGCCCAGATGAACTTTAAACCACGTAACAGCTCTCAGTGCCCTTAACTGGAGCTTCGGGGGGATTGTACCAGAAATAAGAACTGAATGTCTTCTCAAGAATAAGATGTTTTAAAGACAGCAAAATTAGAAGAAAATAAGCCTCTAGGCTCCTCCCTACTCAGCCAGAGTACTCGGCCAGAATGGGGAAGCCACAGGGTCTGCTATGGAGTTTTGAATTTATCCCCTCTGTGACCACTCTAGCTACCAGGACACAGGACATCTTGCTGTGGGAACCTCTCAGTCCATATCTGTAATGAGACCTGGATTTTTTGAGGGGCAGAAAAAGCCTTAAATACCTTCCACCTCATGAGTACTATGTCAGAGACAATAGCAGCTATATGGCTGCATAAACCTTTTCCTTTTCTGCCTCTTGATCTCTCTTCTTTCCTTCCTTTCCCTAAATTTAATTCTCTCTTCTCTGAGGGAATTAGAGAATTTCCATGTACATGGCTGTTTCTGGACTTCTGATTATGCTTCTTGCTCTACTCTGGAACTGGCTCAACCAGTAATTTCAGCAGTGAACTACCAGCAAATTCCAGTTCAAGTTGTAAGACCTGGAACCCAGGGTTCCTTCCCTAGCAAAAGGTGTAGAGCCTTTTAACGTATAATTAGCACCTGGACTTCACCATATCATGACCTCATCCATCAAAAGCATCTCTCAGTTTCTCTGTGTCAGTCCTGCCTTGCCTTTCCTTAAATGTGTTTATCATCAAATCATTATCACAACATAAGCATAAACAGGAGAAATAATAGCCTCATATTAATATTTATTGACAGACTGTCATAACTCAGTTATGAAAGAACTGAATTACATAATATATATTACAGATAATATATATTATTGCATAGAAAATAATATATAAAAATAAAAAAAGCAGCTTGCTGTACATCACAGAGTATAAACACCAAAAGCTAGCCCTGATAAACAGAATGCGGGATACGTAATCACTAAGCAGAGTTACAAAGTTGATCTATTAAAAAAAGGCAAAAACTTTTATGACCATGGGCTTTTTAACTAATTTCCCATAGACGAAGATAGTCGATAGCATATTTTATTCAGATGGTTTATGTACCTCAGAAATTCTGTTATGTTAATCTCTATAAAGACTGTTTAAAAATATATTTTCCACAAGGGTGGAAAAATGGAAAAATGTTGTAGATGTAATATTGATCTTAGGAGCAAACTAAGTAGCCTGCAAAACACCTATCAATGTAATCTCTGTCAAACTAATGTTTGTAGTTTATTTAACTGTCCCTATGTCTTTATTAGTATAAGAAGGATATTATTTATACTT